CACACACACACACACACACACACACACACACATACACACACATATATATATATACATATACAAATACATATACATACATACACACACACATACTCATACACATAGATAGATACATAGGCACATAGATAGATAGATACATAGGTACATAGATAGATAGATATATAATATATATATTAATATATATATATATATATATATATAGGGAAAGATCAACGCAAGCTACGAGTTTTTAATGCAGTCAGACGCAAATTTATCAACGCCAATGGATGAAAACTCATGTGACACTGAATGTTCAAGATCGTGTACAGTTGCATACCTCGCAAACATCAGCTGGCCAGGCCTGGTGCCAATTGATTTACACATTGAATAATTTGACCTCGCCATATACGTAGGTGTCAACACTAGGATTTGGGTGCGCGTAGTGGTGCTGGCGAGTCGCCTGAAAGCAGCGAACGTTACAGAGAAAGACATATTGTAATGGTTGTTCAAACTGAAAGGCGACGGGTGTACTCGAAATGATGGACAATGCTATAATAGGTGGTTGTCTTAACTTTAAGAAAAAAACGGGATCAGAAATATCTGAACACAATCAGAATCAGAAAGGGCAGAAAGTATTATTTATACAATTTTGGAGCATGATGTCTCGTACAGTCGGACTGTGTACTTTTTGACATATGTACCTCCCCCCCCGTGAAAAAGAACCATTTTTGAACATTTGGGTCCGCGAGTAATTTTAGGTGCAAACTGCAATCCGTTCCCGTACATTTCAATCCGTTCCCGTACATTTCAGAGAATTCTGAAGTATGTATTGTTTTTAATAATGTCTTGCACTCAAACTTCAGTGTCTATACTCTATAGTCTATACTGCTATACAGTATACTCAACCTATGGATTTTTAGCTCAGTTCCCGCCAAAATATAAACGAATCGAAATGGGGTTATAAATAGATTTATTACAACCACAGCTTTCAGTCCCCAACAGTCAGCACTGACGCACCAGTCACCAGTGGCTGTGGTGAATATAAATTTCTCGGGGGTGATTCACACACACTTCTTGCGGGAAATCAAACTAAATAGCCAAAATATAGAGAGGGTATCATACAATATATATAACAATATAATTTAATTTGTATATATGGAATATGTTTACCGTGTACGGCATACCAGCATCCAGCGCAGAATATAGGGACAATGAAAAATAATACCTAAGTAGAACACTTCTTTAATTTTATAAGATACTCCAGTCGCGCTTTGTTGCATTCAACTCGGTCACGCGATTTGCGGGGTGGGCACCGACACTGGTTTGATACCAGCCACCAACAGGACGACTAGTTACGCTTGAGTATGGGTATGTTGTATATATATATATATATATATATACATACATATGTATACGCAGACTGTATAAGTGCCCATGACTGTCTTGGATACACTCTGTAGAGTTATAGTGCTGCTTGGTTGTTTACTGTAAGTTAGATATAAGATTTTTGGTATTAGTATGGGACATTTACGTTGGTTGACCAGACTTTCGTGTGGGGTTACGTGGCTAAGTATATTGTGTTCAGTCCTATACTTATCTCATAGGCGCTCGAGTGTTTACACATTAATAAGTATGTGTCTTTATTTACGTACCTAGTATT